ACCTCTGAAAGACCACGGCGTTCAACTTCATCGATACATTTGATCTAAAATAAATCAAAACATAACTTAGTCGAAAAGAAATACATGTTTTGTGTAATGAGAAAATACCAGATTGGAAACCCTTGTTCTCTGTTCTGACGAGCGATTACTTTATAGGTAATGGCTGGCTTTTAAAGGGTACTCCGTCTAGGGAGAAGGGGAGGGACATTGCCGTTGGACCTTGGCAACCTTCAAAAAAGTGGGCCAGATATACAAGACTCGGTTCAGATGTCGAACTTGAGTCGAACGAAATTCAGGATTAACTGAAACCACGTAAACTTTATTCTCCTGACTCTCGACCGCAAGAGCGTAATTCCGCCAATACATTAACATAGTTGATGAACTTTTTGGGAGGGCACAGGTCAAATCCTTGCTGAACAACAATAAAAGGGTTCATTCGCATGCCGTGCTTTTACAAACTTAATTCCTGAATTAAGTTCGACGCGACAGGAGCAAGACGTCTGAACACGGCTTAAGATTTTCGTCTAAAAAGGGTGTGTGCTACAAAATCCTTAGTGACAATTTACTTACAACAATGTCGGGCACCATAGGACCTGTGGTGGGAGCATAAAACTCAATGTTTTCATCCTATATAAAAAAAAAAATAATCAACAGGAATCAGCAAACAGAAGAAAGAAAGAGAATTCAAAACCGACAGCTACCTCAGTTACTAATGGCTACGATTATCAAGAAGTTGGATAGCTTTATAAACCAGACACAATACTTCCTGGGCCGTCTCATTTGAAGCCCAATCCACGGCGTTTCTCTTTATCCAACACCAATTCTCGTAACTATTTTACAAGGAAATGTGTAGCAATTACAGGGGAGAATCAACATTCCGATATTGGAAGTTATAGGAATAAATAGATACCATCAAATTTTCAGGGAAGTTTGATGAAATGAACTGGCATCGCATCCCGAGGGGTCCTAGTAATACTCCTAGTCACTATGAAAGAGCCACTTGGTTTGAGTACGTATTATCTATCCGGTGAAGAGTACTACAAATAGATTCAGTACGAGTCAGTGATACGTACTGGGCGTTTTCTTCCTGAGCCAGGCGTGTCAACACTTGGAACACACGGCAAAGGGAGGTGGTCTTTACAGTCTGGATGGCACACAACTCGACAATCTGGAATAAAAAAAGCTACATGTTAGACTTAGGCAGGTACCTGAACTGCTTACAAAAAACACAATAAAATTGAACCATTTTACTCTAACGAGTGACCAAGATAGAGTATCTCCTCAAAATATCAATACCACATCAAGCTGACAAGTTGTAATGAGAAGGAAAAATTATATCTATTAAGGGATTATGAGTTGATCTGACACTAAATTCTCCAAACTAACGTCATAAGAATTGTATGGCAGACGGTAAGGAACTGTAGTAATGAGATAATTTGGATATATCAACAAAGCTGAAATGGTAAATTCATTTATTCGTGTTTTTCTCGTTGCCATGTTCCCACCAATAATGTAGCTCCATTTTCTGCCTTTAAAAGCACACACAACCCACAATTCCTCTATTCGCTCCGACGAAGGGCTAACGCTCGAAACGTCAGCTTTTGCAATCATTACGGTGGCCAATTTACCATTTCAACTTTGTTGATACATCCAAATTATTTCGTTACCCCCACCCACGCAGTCCCAAACAGTTTCTTTAGAAACTATCAGTCTTTATTCATTTGTAGTAACGAGATCTTGGCAGCGAAATGGATCACTGCTTGTTTTCTGGTAAATCCAAGAAATTGAGAAAATGTCACAGAACATGACAGAAATAAGACTGTCATACTGAAGAAAACTTTTTAGCAACAAATTGTGCAACTAACAGGTTGTGTTATTTACATTTAACACAAAGATGAGAAGCCACGGAAAACATCCACACTCTGCTACTCAGCTCAAACAACCAGATCAAGGACAGCCTAAGAGAAGATTCCTTCCAATCATATAAAATCTTAACCCTTTATTTAACCTTTTATATACATGATCTGATCGTTAATTCTCCCCTTTAGCTGCAACACATTTCCATCTAAATTAGTTACAAGAATTTGGTGCTAGATCGAGATGCCTTCTACCTGATCAGTTTGAGTATTCTCATTACCTGCTTGCAGGATAATGTATGGATATTATAAGGAGAAGTTACTTGTTAATCACTTGGAGTAAAAGGGTTAATTATCATATCATTACCTTTGCATTTCAAGGCAAGTTTTCCAAACTTTATCCGCTTTTTACACTACAGAATGAGAATTAAAAAAAGTTTATGTTCCCAATGCTCCATGGTCTTCACTGATTCTTTATTCATTTGCATTGTAAAAGAGAATTTTGAAAGACTTGTTTTTTGTTTGTTTGTTTTTCACATATAGTATATACTCACTGGTTGGCAAGATTCCGGCTTGATAACAGTCTTGGAGCACAACACATGTTTCTGAAATTTCAATTAATTTAGCAGCATTATGAAATCAAATTCAATAATCCATGCTTGAGCAAATTTGAAAACAAATTTAACAATCACTTTACCTTGTCCTTTCCAGCTGGTCCTTTACCACTCTGTGATGCAACTCTGGAACAGTAAATAATGCTATTAGACATGCTGAGAAAGCAAAGTTACTCTGGCAAGAAGTATTTTGTACTGGTTGCTTTCCAAACCAGTTGTTAAATTCTAAAATTTGAAGGATGCCGCAAAAAGGTAACCTGTGTTAGATAACCATTTTTGAGTAGTCAGTCAATACCATGACCTTAGTCACATCTTTGAGTTGGAGCACAGAGCCAAAGAAATCCATTTTTATATCTAATGACCAAAAAAGGAAGGCATGTAACAAGCAAAAGTTTGCTGGCTTCTGTGTCTTGTATGCACTGTTTTTTAAACCAGAGAGAATGTAGCATTCATTCATTCCCTCTCCCCCCCCCCCCCAAAAAAAAAAAAAAAAAAAAAACAAACAAAAAAAAAATAGAAAGAAATAATAAGAAAGGAACACCTAGGTTTTTACACCATTGTGGTTGAACTTATAATTATGATTTTATCCCACCCCCCCCAAAAATAAATTTAAACATGTCTCTGCTTAGCACAAAACCTCTGATGTTCAACGGTAACACAATTGCTGTTGGCGATTTAAAAAAAATGTGATATTGAAGTTAATGCAGCAATGGAATCACACCACCATGTTTGATCAAGTAAATGGGGTACCAGTAACCCTGACTCTCTGTTTTTCCATACCCCTGGAAAATGTATGGAATGGTGAGGGTGAAGCACTAAACCATTGAACATGACTTTTGAAACAGGATAATTCAGAGCTGACCAATGCATGCACTGTTCTGTTACTGATTGTATGACCATTTTGCTCGGAGGCCAGCCCTTTCCATTTGGTGCTATTGACAGGTACCAATTGAAGGAAAATTTAGGTTAGAACTTCATGTTGATATGCAAATCCATATTGATAGTTACCTGGGCAAAACTAAAATTTGTACAATGAATAAGAACTGCATGTAAATAATAGAGAACCACATGATCACCTCTGTAGTTGTGGAGTCACCTTCCTTGGACTGGTAATTTCTTCAAGCTCTCTTATCGCCAGGCGGTATGGGTCTTGATAATTTATTTCTGCATAGAAGGAAAGCTTTTTCTTTATTTTTGTAAGATGAACATTGACAAAATCAAACAACACATGCAAAATCTTAACTTATTTCAGCCAGCACTTCTCTCCCTCTTGTTTCACAGAAAATCAGTGGAAGAGACAGACTGTATGACCTTACAATTTATGTCTGTTAGCAATCATGTTTTGAACAAACTGATAAAAATCAAAACTTTAATCCTTTACACCCTGACGTCAGCAGGTATGTTCTCTTTTCTTCGTTTATTTCCCATGGTGCTGACGGGAAGAATTTGTCTTCCAGTTAAGAGCTTCGTTAGTTGGTAATCATTTCCTTTATTCTTGTGACCTAAATGTGTGATTTGGGAGTGATAAATGCTAGTCATTCATTGGGTTCAAAGGGTCACAGATTGTACAGATTAGTTTCTTGGTGATATTCTAACAAATATCTTACCTGGGGCTGATGGTTGAATAGGAATCTGTGGACTTGGATAAATTGGAACACGGACTGGACTGTCTGGAACAACATGCTTAACAACCACCTGCCCATCAACCTACATTTCAAAGACAAGGAAACAATCTTGCACATTATATCACCACTAGGAAGCAATATCTACCCCTGAGAATGAACGAAAAAGCATGAGCAGGAGAATCGTGCAAGAATATTGAAGTATACATCAGCAACTACACTTCATTAAAGGGAAGTAATTTTGCATTGATAAATTCAAAGATTCAACATCCTCCCCCTGGACATTTGAATTCTTAAATAATGGGTAGTTCAGGGTCATGGGTTACTCTTTGAAATCTCAAAGAGCAGTTAGAAGTAAAATCTATTTCAGGCATTTTTTAATGCCCATGAAAAAAAAAAAAACTATGTTACTTAAGCATACTTTTGCCTTTCGTGGACACCAATGTAAATGTACATCTCTAAACTTAGAATTCAAAATAAAATATACCTCATCAGTCTTGGGTCTTTTGGGAGGAGTAACCTAAAAGTGATAACAATTAAGGAAAAGGGTATTTTAAAAATCCAGGATCATCTAATAATTGTAACAACTGATCTTAATCAAAAGTCATGCTTTCCTTCTTAAAAAGTTAGTTTAAGACATTAGTGAACTACTTCATGGACTTTCCATGGCAGATGAGCACAAGGAAGGAAAAATCTAGGGAGAATAAGAAAGGTTTATCAATGGATTTTAAAGGAGAACCAAGCCAAACGAACTAAGTTT